ATATGGAATTATTAATACATTTGAATCTGAAGGGCACTCTGGGTAACAATGCCTCTAACTTTCCCTGAATTGCACCTAAGATGTCTTTAAATGTATTGCTTTATTCCCATTTCTGTTTCCCCTTTGGTCTCATTTGCCACATATTAATGTTATAGAAACTTTCTATGTGCTTCTTACTGTTTTTAATCTAACAGGATGTTTTCAGAATACTGAAACAGGTTTGGAGCTTCATGCTGTCATTTAAGTCAATTTATTATTTTGTTTTGCTACATTTAGTAGATTTATTACAAGCATTTTTGCTCACACCAGACATTACACTCCAGATACTTAATCACTTAGAGGGAACTGATCCTGTAGTTCACCTCCCATTATTTATAACCAGTTGTGGCTTCTTGTTCAGACCCTGCAATCCTGTTAAGTCAAAAATACTTGGATTTAAAATTATTGCAATCCATGAAAGGGCTAAGTGCCACAAATATAATTTCACACAGAGGCTGAAGTGATGCTACATAGGAGGATTGCAGACTGCCAGAAATAGTGCAAATTGAGTCCACTTTTAGGGTTAGGGTTAGTGCTAGGGAATCATGGGAATTTTTTTTTCCTGAGACATTGAGCCTTCTCTGTCAGAGAGCTCTGGTGCCACAATAAAATACAGTTTCCATAATTCCCTAACCCTAACCCTAACCCTAAAAGTGGACTCAATTTGCACTATTTCTGGCAGTCTGCAACCCGCCATACTCCTTGGATTCCTGTTTTTTCTAGACCAAATTCTTTAGCTACTTGAAAGGCAAACTTTTCGTAATCTTTGCCATCACACTATCTTCCACTATTTTGAAGAGAATATTTGTTCCATTGTGAAGTTCCCATGAATTTCTGTGAGATGATCAGCAGCATTCTTTAATTAGACAGAAGCAGAAAGTGTGGCTTCATGTATTTGCCAACATTATCTTCCGTTAAGGTGTTTGACTTAGGAACTTTAAAGTAAGTTGTATGTGCAGGTCCTTCCTGTTTTCATATGAAAGTATCAGCCATTCTAGGATGGTATCTGAATATTTCCAACCTTCTCTGTTGTTTGTTTTTATTGACTCACAACATGCTCTCCCAACTGCTGCAGGCTTCATACTGGCTTAGTACTGTTTCCATTCCTGAACATTTGGCTAGTAGCCAAATTACCTTCTTGCGCTGCCTTTTGTTGGCATGGAGCCAACAGACATTGTTAAAGCTACTGCAGGATCCCAGAATTTAGGAGTAAACCCCTATGTATAATATATATGCTTTTAAAAAAAAAGAAGTAGTGGGTGGGATGGGAACCACAATGAAATAGTGGTGAGGTGCAAAATTCCTTTTTTTTTTTTTTTTTGCATGGGAAACCTTTGACCTATGGAAGCCACATCTACCATTTCATAAATAAATTTCGAATAGTTTGTGTAGTCTAGGTGACAGTTCCCTTGGGTTGAAAGCCAGGATGGGAAAACAACAGCCATACAGGATTTGCCCCTGAATGAGTACATCAGCCTGGATTACATCATGGAGACTGGGCTCAGTGAAGCTAGAGGAATAATTCTCTCCCAGCTTTGTCCACCATTGATTTCTAAATATCATAAACAGTCATAAACATCTAGTTATGCATTAAAACAAACAATGATTCCAATAGCCATCTGCACTTATTAAAACACTTGATGCTGAAATGAATAATAGGGCACAAAGGGGGGATGCAGACCTTGGGCCTCCCCGAGAAAGAGAGGATTGAGGCCGAGCTGCCAGACATGTCAGCCCTGATCCTCCCTTTTGCCACCTGGGAAAGAAGCACCAAAATGCCGCTCCTTTCACAGGCGGCAAAAAGGGCACCCGAAGAGCTGCCGCACGGCTCTTTTGCGTCTCTTCCGGCGCAGTGCATTAAGACGCTGTGCCATGATGACGTCTTCAGCGTGGCGTTGGGGTGCCTGGTGTGTGGCTGCCCCTCCCCTTCCCTGCCTCCAAGACGGTGCAAAGCTCCGTCTCTAGAGGCCCATAGTCGCATGAATGTATAGTTTTTCAACTGACTGTATAGTATTTTAAGTCCCTGTGTGGACAGAGTAGGTTATATTTCAGATAATTAATACTACACAGAAAATTCCTTTAAACTCATCAACCCCCTCACCCTTAATTCATAACAGACAAAGCAATTCTCTAACTTAGGAAATAAATACATTTGTTTTTTAAATTTAGAAATCATACATAATTATCCACAACTGTAAAAAAATATAAATATATTTTGTATTATCTAATTATATACGGAATATAAATTTTTGTATTTCTGGTTCAAATGCCCTACAACCAATTCCAGGAAGGCTAATTCCAGGCCCTGAAGTTCCCCACCACAGATTAGACAAAATAGATCATATAAATGTTGAGTTTTGAGAGAGCATTTGAAAGTCAAGAGAATGATGGCACTGTGAAGTTGTTCTGGGAGAAAGTTCTTGGTAAAGGAAGCAGCAAATCAGAACTCATAGAGAGGGAGCCAACTACTTATCAGGTGGCTAAGGTAGTACAGCCGAAGAGGTAAAGCTTATTGGCAGGGCCGGCATACCTTTTTTTAATTACTCATTTTTCATATTTGCGTGTAGTGGTTTAAATGTTGGACTACAACTCTGAAAACCAGGGTTCGATTCCCTACTCAACTATGAATCCCATTGGGTGACCTTGGGCACATCACAGTCTCCCAGTTTCAGAGAAAGGCAATGGCAAACTCCTCTGAACTCCTCTGCCAAGAAAACCCTGTGATAGGTTTGCCCTAGGCCAGGCCATCGTAAGTTGACTCACAACAACAATAACAAATGTATGTTTTTACAAAATTGTAAAAACACAGAATACAGTGGATGAGGCGGCGGATGATGATGATGATGATGATGATGATGATGATGATGATGGTAATACAACCAACCCAAACAGTTAACAGTGTGACAACCATAAAGAAAATGACAAAACAATAAAAGAAATACAAAGTTGTTAAAAGCGTAAAAATAATATATTGAGGAAAGAAGAAGGTATAGAAGACCATATTAGGCAAATGCAAAGATGTTATGAACTAGGACACGTCTGACCCGTAGGTAGTTCCCCAGGAGGCTCAAGTGCAGGGATCTCTTGGTGGCTGTGGTCCGTTGTGCATGAACATTTCTAGGTGGGCTCATCCCCCCATCATCAAGCCTTGGGGGTATCAAGCTCCCCTGCCCCCTGCCCATTGCATGTTGGCAAAGATACTGTAGGAAATAAGAGAAGAAAGGTAGCATCAGGCAGATGACATCTTTCACTGTGTCTACAGAAGTAAGGGTAGCCCTACTACAACCATGTGAAATGTCATATTTGTGAATCTGTGAGAAGCAAAAAAAAGTATCCACTTGTTAGAAAATTGTATTTTCTGAATGCTATTGCCATTTCTTCACTGTCAGTTTCATGTCTTCTGGGTGGCAAAATGATGTAATTTTATGCTACAGCTTGTAGTAATTTCCAGTCCCACCCCTACATGAGAGGTACGAATCATTGAAGTAATGAAGCAGAATCACATTTCCCCCCCATTGAAATTGCAATATCCTTCCAAACCAGCGACAATTGAGCCATCATAAAAATTACATCACATTATCTCTCCAAAGAGACCAGCGTTTCACTCAAAGGACAGCTGTCAAAATAAAATTCAGCCTTGAGATTCTGAAAGCTCAAAAAGATCATACCCATGAATTTTGATGAATCTTAATTTTAGGACAAATTAAGAGCTGTATAATTGGCTCATAATATCCTAGCCATCCATATTACAAATATATTATTTATAGAATCATAGAATTAGAATCATAGAGTTGGAAGACACTTCAAGGGTCATCAAGTCCAACCCCCTGCCATGCAGAAATACACAATCAAAGCACCATTGACAGATAGCCATCCAGCCTCTGTTTAAAAACCTCAAAGGAAGGGGACTTCACCACTCTCTAAGGGAGTGTGTCCCACTGTCAAACAGCTCTTATTGTCAGGAAGTTCCTCCTAATGTTTAGGTGGACTCTCTTTTCCTCTAGTTTGAATCCATTGCTCTGAGTCTCTGGAGCTGCAGAAAACATGCTTGCTCCAGCCTCAATATGACATCCTTTCAAATATTTAAACAGGGCTATCATATCACCTCTTAACTGTCTCTTCTCCATCTACCAAACTAGTACCCAGCTCCCTAAGTCACTCCTCATAGGGCATGGTTTCAGATTCTTTACCATTTTGGTCGGCCTCCTCTGGATATTCTCCAGCTTGTCAACATCGTTTTTGAATTGTGATGGCCAGAACTGAATGCAGTATTCCAGGTGAGGCCTGACCAAAGCAGAATAGAGTGACACCATTACTTCCCTTGATCTAGACCCTATACTTCTATTGATGCAGCCTAAAATCGCATTGGCCTTTTTAGCTGCCATATCACACTGTTGACCAATGTTCAACTTGTCATCTACTAGGACTCCTAGATCCCTTTCACATGTCCCATTGTCAAGCCAGGTGTCCCCCATTCTATATCTGTGCATTTCATTTTTTTCAGCCTATGTGTGGTACCTTACATTTCTCTCTACTGAAATTCATTTTGTTAGTTTTGGCCCAGCTTTCCAATCTATTAAGGTCATTTTGAATTTTGATCCTGTCCTCTGAGGTATTAGCTACTTCTCCTAATTTGGTGTCATCTGAAAATTTGATAAGCATGCCCTCTATTGTTTCACCCAAGTCAGTGATAAAGATGTTGAATAGCACTGGGCCCAGGACAGAACCCTATGGCATCTCAATGGTCACTTCTCTCCAGGATGAAGAGGAGCCATTGCTGAGCACCCTTTCTGTTTGTCTGGTCAACTAATTACTAACCCACCTAACAGGTGTATTGTGTAGCCCACATTTGACTAACTTGTTTGCCAGAATATTGTGAGGGATTTTGTCAAAGGCCTTACTGAAATCAAGATATTCTACATCCACAGCATTCCCTTCATCTACCAAACTAGTAATTTTATCAAACCAAGGAGGTAAGATTAGTCTGGCATGACTTGTTTTTGAGAAACCCATGTTGACTGACTTATGTTAGCACTGTTTGTTCAAAAACACACACACATGAGATAAAATTTAGGCCTGTATGTGGCAAAGAGCACAATTCCACATTTAGCAGAGCTGCATGAATGTGAATTGTGTATTTCCCTATCTTGCACAGAAACAATTCTGGTTTTAGGTTTTGTCTAGTTGTTTTAAAATTAGCAAAAATAGAGGAGAGATGAGAGTGTCAACTTGAAAGGCCTGCTCTGCTGTAAGAAGTAGGACATACAGCTATACAAAACCCACTGTCTGATTAAAGTTTTCACCTTAGCTCATCCTACATGCTATTCATTCCAAAATTGGTCTTTATGACTTTCTCTGAACCCTTGGACTACCTGGTCCTGGAATACAAGAATAATGCAATGAGAAAAATACACAATTTTGCTCAAATAATAGTATTAATCATCATCATAGCTCTTACGGTTCAACTTTGTATGTAAACTTACTCTTCTGATGCTGGTTGTGTATGGTTATGTTATAGTTACGTTATAGTTATAGTATGGTTATGTTATAGTGGTTAGGGAAATACACTCTGATCAGTTTTGAAGGCATAATCTCTTTTTGACATAAATTTCAGGACTTAGCCTGCGCATGTAAGTTTTCAGCCTGTGCTCTGGCTCAGGATTAAGATCTGTTTGCCAGCTTTTATTTCCCATTGCCAGGTTAAAGTGAGCTAAACCTCTCCAAAAATATATAATTAGGAAGATTTTCTATAGGCTTTGTAGATGGCCTTCCCAAACTGTTTTTCTCTATGCATCTGGGATTACAGTTAAAAGCTTTAGAGCTTTAGAGCTGTGTATGTATGATTGTGTACATACTTGCCAACATCTCTATATCTAACAGAAGTTTGAGTCCTAAAATCACTTACTTGGAGAAGTCAGTGGGATTTCTAAGAAAGCGCATCCTGCATAATAATACTATGCATGTAAATCTTACAGAATTATAGAACAGTATCATATCCTCAAGCTGTCCACCCTCTTTATGAAGACATCCAGAGGAGATCCCATAATCTCTCTAAGCAATTGGTTCCCTTGACAAACCACTCTTACTGTCAAGAAATTCCTTCTAATGTTCAGTCAAAAATCTACCGTCATGTATTCTTAAACCTGTCAATTAAAACCATAAACCATTAAACTTAAAATCAATAGCCCAGGGCTATTTAGCAGCACTCTGAGTGGATATCTGACTCTATTGCATTCAACACAAATAGTACATTTATCCTGTTGGTTCCTATTGCTTCCTTCCTCTTTTTTCATATTTTTACTAAATGCATTCTTCCCAGCAAATAGCAGAGCAGTGGAGGATAGGGGCAGTAGCATTACTGGGGGCATGCAGGGGTGCAAATCCCACTAGGTGACCCCACCGAAGGGGGGGTGACACCTGGTGAGCACCCCCCACCTCCCTGCAAAGCTGAGAGGGAGAGGGTCCAACACCCCCGTCCCTGCTCTGCACAGCATTACTCCGTAGGAGTAGGTGCATGGCAGGGAGGGAGGGGTCTCTTTTGGCTCTGTCCCAAAGCCCTGCCCCCAAGGCCCCATTCCCCCAAACTGGGTGACACCCCGATGTGGGACACTAGTGGATAGGGGTCTTGGAGGTGTCCTGGTGGCACAGTGGTTAAATGCCTGTACTGCAGACACTCACTCATAGACCACAAGGTTGTGAGTTCAATACTAGCCAGGGCTCAGGCTAGACTCAGGCCTGCATCTTTCCGAGGTCGCTAAAATGAAAACCCAGCTGCTGGGGAGCAATGAGCTTACAGTTGTAAACCGCTTAGACACCGCATAGCATGGTAGAAAGCGGTGTATAAATGAAGCTGCTTTTTGCTTTGCTTTGCTTTGCTTTGCTTTGCTCATCCATCCACAGGGTGGCCATGAGTCAGGGTCAACTCTGGGACAGTTAACAAATAGGTATTTTTCTTCCATTTTTGGAAACTGGTATTTTTAATAGAATCATTGTTGGAAGAGACCCCAAGGGCTATCCAGTCCAATTCCCTTCCATGCAGGAATACACCATCAAGCCACCCCTGACAAATAGCCACCCAGCCTCTGTTTAAAAACCTCCCAAAAAAGAGACTCCGCCACTCTCCAAGGTGCAACATTTTGAGCATGATTTTGCTTACATGGGAGACCAGTCCTATAGTTGCTGCAGTCTCTCCCTAGAAGCCAAGATGATAACACTTAAGACTGTCATACTTTGGACACATCATGAGAAGGCATGAATCGCTGGAAAAGACAATAATGTTAGGAAAGGTGAAGGGACCTAGAAAGAGAGGAAGGCCACATGCTAGATGAATGGACTTTATTAAGGAGACAATGGGGGGTTGCAGACTGCCAGAAATAGTGCAAATTGAGTCCACTTTTAGGGTTAGGGTTAGTGCTAGGGAATCATGGGAATTGTTTTTTTTTTTTTCTGAGACATTGAGCCTTCTCTGTCAGAGAGCTCTGGTGCCACAATAAAATACAGTCCCCATGATTCCCTAACCCTAACCCTAAAAGTGGACTCAATTTGCACTATTTCTGGCAGTCTGCAACCCCCCAATGAATAAGAGTTTGCAGGAGCTGGACAGAGCAGTAAGGGACAGGGGCCC